GACGTCACACCGAAGCGATGTTACATACATTGGAAGGAATCAGAGTCGTTATTTTAAAATAAGCGTAAAAATCTGTTTGTCATAACCCCACACACAGTTTTTATTTTAAAACATCAAGTTAATTGTAGCCAGAATTCATAAATCTGATGTATTTAATATTATCATAAAAAAATTCATGTTGTTTTTGGTGGTCTGATTGATGCTTTGCATCTTGTATTCTTTCTCCAGGAATTAAGACGAGAAGAGTGACGTAAGCACTATTTTGAGAAAGCACCGTGCATTGTTTTGTACTAAGAAATGTGCTCACGATCTACTTTTTTCTTAAATTTGGAATCGTGCCTTTAAATGCAGGCCGACAAAACATAACGTCATATAGCGATACTTTTTTTGGACTGTCTCATGCATACACACGTAAGATTAAAGCGTCTGCTCATTGCCCAATATGTTATGCACGTAACGAACGAGACCTCATACTCTCTCCTTTCACGATCTGTTCCTTGAAATTCGTTCAATTAATGAATGCATATTATTAAGATACTAAAGAGAGAATAAAAACACGGTTGAAATGTTACAAGTTCTGTCAATATTTATATTAAAATATGGGTATAGGAAACAATTATTTATTTTCATCCGTCTTATCACAATATTTAAAATTTCTTATAATTAAGATAATAAAATATTATTGATGTTCCATATCGATTGATCGATTTACACTTTGGAACATCCTTTACACAACATGTTTCAGTTTTTATAAAACCATCTTCAGGTGTATAAGATTTTCGAACTTAAAACTCAAATATTATTCCATTTGGTGATGTTTTATGCCATTTGTTTTTCGAATTTGGGCGAGGTGTTGTCTTTTCTTAAATTTAATCAGATGTACATATCGGTCTTTAGACTATTCACAATATGACGCAATTACACTATCTTATGGGTATAGGAACTGCGCTTTAAATGGAGCTAATGCAAAGATGGAAATAGCAGAAATTGTATTCACTCATTAAAACCGATTTGTAACCATGGGCACGTACCATCTGCTTTAACAGTCAGTAATTCTGCACTTTGTTTCTGTGTGATTTTGTATGATTCTTAGTGTAAAGAGAGATTATTTCCTTAAACTTCATTATCAATTCATCCTTGAAATGCAGTCGCGTAGTTTTTGTGGTACTGACTGAATTCTTAAATATTACATAGATGAGCTTCAGCTTTAAAGGGATGAGATGTGATTTTGGAAGTTTCCATTATGTCCATTTACGTAACAATATAATGAGTAATAGACTGAAGAATACTGGAAAATAAGGATAAATTAGAAGCGTGTGTTCTGCAAAATATTTTCTTCTTTGAGTAAGATGTGACACTCAGTTGAGCGTGGAAACAAAACTATCCCATCTGGATTCAAACTTAATGACCATGGTGGAATTTTGTGTGCGAGAACTGTAGAATCTATTTTTGCCTGGAATTTCAGCAGCCGAGTCCGACCTGTGTGTGGTTCACACGACACTTGGCGATGTGAATCAGCGGCAGCCAGACGATGTCAGATAAGATTCTGTATTATTATGTCGCAAGTAGGCATTGTCCATTGTCTGAGATTCATTTAATAAGTCGATTTTATATTTTTTGGACTTAGATTTACTCCCGTCTTCGTATTTTTTTAATGGACTCTTTGCCATCTAAATAGATTACATAACGAAAAATGAAAAAAAAATGGAATATTTGAATGCTACTTTATTCATATGTTTGTGAACTAATTTGCTTGTGTATTTAAATATCTGCTTTTCCTCGCCAGTTGGGCTTGCGATTTCCCACATACTCAAAATCATGTGTTTACTGGTCTGACGGTAGATGAATGCTTCTTCCTAAACATAGCAAGCTTTGTTCTAGTTTATTTAAGTTTGGTGAGTTCAGTTTGTATTTAGGCTAGACAGTCGCAAATAAACCTGGCAAACGAAGCAGCTACAGACCCATTAGCCTAACTGTATCCTAAATACTGATACCTTTTATTATTTGTATCTGCGATTTTTAATTTGTGTACACTAATAGAATTAAATAATCTTATTACGAATATTTTTTATGAATTCGGTTATTATGCGTAGTTCGTAATGCATAATTGGTGGTTATTATCTATAATTCCCAGTTGGGAATTTCCACAACCGCCATTTTTGATTCATAATTGCCAGTTAATCGCTCTTGCCGTAATACATACATCTCCTAGTTTGTGGCTTTCGCACTGTGAGATTCATTTTGTCTGGGGGCAAGGCAGCCACGGTTCCCCAAACTCACATTTTCTCATAAGGACTTGGTGTTGCCAACAGCAGGGTTTTTCAGGAACGCAGCCCCCACAGTTGGCGAGAGACCGAAATGTATGTGTGTACTGTATCGCCATTTCGTTTGGAATTGTGCCTTTCTTGGAACATTAAAACCGTCTGCTTTTGCGCAATCTTCTGGCTTTGTTTTCTGAGCTTTGCAAGCGGCTTGAGTAGGATTGGAATTCAGTGTCTGACAGCTAACTTGAAGAACATCGCTTCGACACCCGACATTGATACCTCAAAACACTTCTACATTAAACACACATATCCGATTTGTTCATCGATTTGTATTGTTTAGACACTTCTTCAATAATTGCAGATGTTATGTGCTTGGAATGGGATACAAAGTAAGCATGAATGTCAGATTTATAAGATTTCTAAGGAGGTGGTCATGACATATTTCACGGTACTAACCAGGCATTTGCTTGTAAACACTGATGAAAATCTCATGGTAATAGGTGTCGCGGCCATGATTAAAACAGCGCTGACAGTTACCGGTTGAGCGGACGCTCGGTGAAATGACATTTAATGAAGACAGAAAAATGGTTTAATGTAAAAGCTTTCTTTATGTGTAACTCTTAAAATTAGTCGTCTGAAAAATTGACGGTGATCAGTTGACTTTAATACTTACACATTTTTGAGAACATCTCGCCGAGAATTCACTTAAGAGAACTGTCCTGAGTAAAAGTTGCAGATACCCGTAAAATACGCACGTTGAGTCTGGTAGGATTTGAGGTTTTTCTCAGCTGTGAGTAAGAAGATGACTGTCTTCTGGGTCGTAATGTTTTGTAGTCTGGTTGAAGTTTACCAACATTTCGGAGGTTCTTGCTGCCTTTAGCAGCAAGGACATCTGCCAATATTACAACCCAGAAGGTAGCCACCACGCTGTTTCTGCTCGATCGTAATAGAGCCTAGTTGCCGAACCACCAGCGTTCAACTGTCATCTAGTTGATCTCCGCTCTTAATTGTTTTACCTGATTCCTAGATATTTAGAAAGCTGTGAATAACCAGCGTATCTGAGTGTATAAAATGTCACATATTAACCCACAAATTCATTTAAATAGTGATACTGATTTTTTTAAAGGAAAACTTTGCTTATTGAAAATATTTTAAGAACTTTCAAATCACAATAATAATGAAAACTATATTTTGTGATGATTTTGTTGTTGACCTATGGCTTGCTCCTGTTACGCCACTGCAGTTTAGGTCACTGTCAGGATCTCTGATGTCTTATTATAGATCCTGGCGTCGATTAATCGGTTGCAGTCAGACGTCTACGTCTTTCATCAGACAACAAAGTCTGCAACACTCTAATTGTCATCAGAACATCAGTGGTACCGCTCAGTGAATCTCTGCAGTCTCTTATGAGTATGTCTCAAGTCTGCTGAGGCAGGAGTTCTAGAATTGGAGTCCTCGCTTAATTTAATGCTTTCAAAAATGTTTTGAATATAAAATAAATTTTATCTTTGTAATGATTTTCATGTTTTAATGTCAGAAGGTGTACCACTTTTCTGTCTTTATCTCCAGTTCAGATCTGGAACTTTCCTTAAAAGAATCGATCATTCATCTGCCAAGCTGTATATGTCAACTTTTGACGAAATGGACCACAAAATATTCCTCTCATTCTTAAACCGTTTAGCCTGGTTGAATTCGAAATTAACCTATAAGTTATTTTGTATATTTGGAGGACTCCTTAAACGGGATACTGGTTTATTGGAAGGCTTGTACCTACAAAGGAGAGCACAGTATAGAACAAGTTAGGAAATATAGGCGTTGCGTAACATTGCTGGCGTGTTCGCCTTATTATTACGTCTAGATTTTCAATTCGTGGATAAGTAGTGTTAGGAGCTACGGGCACTTCTTCCGTTACTCGCGACTGTTATCATGTTAAATAAAAACTTGATAAATAATTTTAAACTAACTTGAAATTTAAATTTTAGGAGTGGCAATTTTCTACAACAGAAGTAGAGTCTAATAGGCCAAAGTATACAGCAGTTAGGTCTATTCAGTCGCCAGAGCCTTATTTATGAAACGTTTGTTGCATGTATGTTTTCTTTTCTCCACCGTGAAAGTCTCTTGTCTGTCGTGTGTCGAAGTACTACAAAATTATTAAGCTCCTTATCATGTAGGTTTGTTCAACCTTCGGTTACTTACTCTTTATGCAGTCCAAAGATTCTCCTCAACATTTATTTTCAAAAACATTAAGTTTGCTTTTATTTCCTAGGGACAGATAGAGCCCGGTAAGTAAATTATTCTGAAGCAAATTATAACAAAGCTTTTCTCGAATTGAACCGGTTCTTAATTTTATCATGAATAAAAATTTTATTAAATTAAAAAATATCATGGAGTAAATATGGGTAATCAAGGATATTGTGTTCTCTGTACTACCACATCTCTCGACACCGAGAAAGACAGTGTTAGAACTATGACTAAATCCTACAATGTTTATGTTAGTGTTGACAGGAAGTGCTGAAAAGTTAGGTTATGAATAGCTCCCTTCATGTTCTGAGATTTGTGTCTTCACTTATGTTTCCGAATTTACTAAACAGTTCTATCATCTGTGTCTTTAAGTAAAACCATGGAATCTTCAATTTAATTTGCTTACCAACTTACAATGGTGTTGAATTTTTCTGTAGTAAAACATCTTGAAATGTTGACTGACAATAAAAAAAAATTAAAGAATAAGCGGAAGTCGGAGGGCGTGTCTCGCGTCAAACTGGCCGGCCTATTCAAAAGCAAATGCGATCCATGTGGTAATATGTTTATGTTAGAAAAACCTACCTGAATCTCTGGAGCACCCAGAACTGCCTTCCTGACCTTCTGCAGCCACTACAAGCACCTCCTCTTGTCGTGTAACTAAAAATCTGTGATAATTCCAAGTTTACATTCCATTACGAGGATAAAGGTGGGTGTTGTGACTTACTCACAGAAGCAAGCCTGATGGGATGAGCCCGGGGCGTGAAGGGGGGCATGCCTTGGAAACATTTTATTTTTAGCAACCTTTCTTCGCAACCAAAGTGTTAAGTTTCTAGAAACACTCTTGTATTGGCTACATGTGTTCACGTGGCTTTGCTTCAATTTTACTATTGGTGAAACTGATGTCTCATTCACTAGACTGAATATGAACATATTTTGTGTTAACTTTTATCGAATGATGAGATTAAAAACAACGACTATTAGCTGACCACAGGGTCATGCATGTTTTACAGTATTACGGTTCCTTTACGGAATTAAATTTAATCTTTGGAAGTGTATACTTTTATTTTGTTTGTGTTTGTCTGGAACTGGATTCGAAAGTTTGGCTTCATTAAAGACGAACATTTTGGACTAAAGCCGAGTCCGCAAGCGATGGAACGCTTCTCAACTGATGGTTCTTCCTCCTTTACGTTACAAAGTACTTGAACGGGGGTTATTAAAATTCTGGCGCCCAACAGAAATATGACACATAAATGAGACGTGGAAATCACTGTAAAGACGCCTGGACGTAATTTGAATCCAGAAAATAAATTATAAAAGTTGGCCTCTGTCCGTGTAAGGAAATAAAAATAAAAAACCAATCGCATTCCTGATGTTATTTAATGTCTGGATAGCCTGCTGAGGTTAAGGGTGTAAAATGTATATTCTTGATGTTCTTAAGATAAGAGCCATTAAAGGAAGGTTTTTAATAAAGTTCTTGATTCTCTGTCTTCTTGTTCTATTTGTAGAAAACATGCTCCTAAAAGATAAACTGGCTCAGGAGAGGTGCCTATGACGGGATTTTTGTGACCACGGTAACGGACATGAAGATTTGGGTCGTCTGGTTTGTGACGCCATGTCTTCTTGTAGATGATTGCCAACTTTCCGGGTGATAGCTCGGTCGACAGATTCACTCCCGTGAGAACATGAAATTTTAGGTGGTAACGAACGTTAAAGTTTCGCAAAACAAAGAATGTCTGGACAGGCTGAGTAACTATTATATTTTAAAATAATAACTTGCACTACTATCTATTTAGGTGCATTACAGACGATTCTTCCCGCGTAGCTTCAGGGCAGGTACATTCCCGACAGCAGCGACACACCAGTGGTTTAAATACGAACTGTATGTTTTGTAGAACATTGAAGTAGTTTATCTTTCTTTTTAACTTATTTGCATAAACTCGATTGTAGAGGGCGGTAGTGGAAAAGAAGCTTCGGAAACAGCTATCGGCCCTGTTGGTTTTGTCGGTATTGAATTCTGTGGAAGGTGTTGAAAGTGTCACAAAAATGAAAACTTACAGTCGCAAGAAACAGTCGCCAAGATATGATTTTGACGACACGTCTATGAATTTTAATGAAATATGCAGGCTATGTTTATCAGAAGAAGGAGAAAAGGTTCAGATTTTTGAAGTTGTTGATGAGGTTCCTCTCCCATTGAAAATAATGGCTTGTGTGTCAGTAGAGGTTGGTTCAATTTCGAAGTATTTATATTGACATTCTTCTGTAATGTATTGTGAATTGTATTAATTAAAGGCTAACGTGTGTTTGAGTAAAGCTATTTTGAATTTCTCTGATGCCCAGATGTGCTCGGAACGTGCCGTCTTTTAAAATAACGTTGACTTTTTTTGTTGTTGACATACAGGGACAGTTGCCCTCACATATAGAAATATATTCAGTGGGTTGGGCGGTAGCTTTATTTATTATTAATGGCTTTGTTACATGATTACTTCAATTTATGACTAGGTTTCATAGTATACATCAAGCATTAATCCTGTTGTGTTTTAAAATATTCTGTTTATGGTACAATTTATATAGTGCAGCCCCCAATTTATATATGTATTAGTGAGTCTGCTCCTATTTCTTAATTTTAATGGCCACTGATCATACTAAAAAAGCAACGTGAAAGGACCCGTAGTAAGAGATCGTGAACTTCATTTCTTTACATTTTGTGTTTTTAATTTATATTGTGAGTTACATAAGACTCTCAAGACATGTGACAGTGAACAGTAGGACAGGCACAGAAAAATTAAAATATTAAAGAAATGACAAGTGAAAATTACTGAATGATTTCTCACCACATAGTGTTGCAGGGCGGTTTTTGATCCCATTTGGTTAATATGGAGTACTTTTCCAGGTTTTTGAAGGGGATGGTTTGCCATCTCAGATATGCCGACAGTGTACTGAAGAATTAGACAGTTATTACAAATTCAAGCAGAAATGTGAAAACTCGGATGCTAGACTGAGACAGCGTCTGAAAAATATTAAAACAATGCAATTCCAAGCCAAGGTACCTCAGGTAAAGTGTAAGTTTACTGTAAGCAAGACCACACACACTTGTCTGTCAAATTAAACATAATTACTCACAACATGGTGGACAAAGAGGGAAGTGGTTTCTTTGTATCAGTGACTGCTTACTTATCTGTTGTAAGTCACATGCACGTTTTATTTGATAGACGTGTGAGTGAGTCTAGAGCTCACCCTGTTTCCTATGAAGTGGATAGCTGGGAATAAAGCGACCAGAGTTTGAAGCTGGCCGCTTGCCTCCAGTGCAAAGGTCTAGAAAGCATGGAGATTAATCTCTGTGCTCTCTGTATGTGATTATACTGTTGCACAAGGACAACTTTAACCTTCCTTACCCTTCACTTATTCTGTTGTTTTGAAAGTGGCTTGTTTCATTTTGGATTTATCTTACACCTGTCTACAAGGAAAGTCAGTCATAATTAACTTGGTTTATTTATTGTAACAAAGAAGCTCATAATTTCCTGTCTTTTTTTCAGACTTCAAGCCTGATTAAAGGAGATGAAGATGAAGATTCAAATGAAGTAGATGATTTATTTACACAGCAGGAAGAAGAGGAACAAGAAATCATAAATAATATCAGAGAAGATCTTGAAAATCATAAAAGAAATAATGTAAATAGTGGTCCAGTTGATCAGAGTATAAACTACAATGTAAAGACAAATGTGGGTGAGAGAAATAATGAAAGGGAAGGTGCTGTACGTCCTACAAGGTCCTCTGAAAATTACATGCAATCAAGTTTCAAGCGGTCCGCAAATATGACAATGTTAGCAGTGAAACATGAACAGGTTGAATCAGAACATTCCAATGTAGCTACAAAACAGAACCAGAATCTTCAGAGTGGTGATCAGAACCAAGGACAGCAGCAGAGTGATGCTGCTGTGGGTTCACTCCCTTCCATCAGCCATCTGCAGCATTATACTCCACAAGGTTTACCATTCATATGCACCAACTGTCCAAAGAGATTTGCAAAAAGAATTGACCTGCGCCGCCACGAATCAGTTCACAATCAACAACGAGGTTTCGAGTGTCCTGTGTGCGAGAAGTGGTTTCCCAATAAGACAAGTTTTGGGCGCCATCAGCGCACCCACACAGGGGAGCGCCCTTTCTCTTGCAATCACTGTGCCAAGAGCTTTTCACAAGGAGCTATCCTTGCTCGTCACATTATGACTCACACAGGAGTCAAACCATTTAAGTGTGAAATCTGCTGCAAAGGGTTTACACAGCGAGAAGGTCTTCGTACCCATATGCGTCAGCACACTAATGAGCAACCAGAAATACAGCTTCATGAATGCCCTCTTTGTGAAAAGTCATTCTGCCATCCATCTGGCCTCTCCAGACATTTAATTATACACACTGGAAAAACATTTGATTGTACTATATGTCCTAAAGTTTTCACGGATTCATCATCTCTTAGAAGGCACATGAGACGTCATGGGGATACCTCAGAATCACCATTAAATCAACCACCACAA